GTATTTAAGCAAATGCTCTGTTTATGATAAACAGTATTAAATAACATTTACCAGCCTGAATGTCCTGAGAAATTTTTCAGAAATATCCTGTCTATGAACGAATATTTTCTATGAAAATTTCTCGGACATTCAGGCCGGTAAATGTTATTTAATATATATTTATATATAAACATAGATTTATATTAAATATATAAATAAATAGATATGTATATAAATAAAAACGTTAAACATAAATATAAAATCCGGTGTTTAATAAATTTTTTTTATAAAAATATATATATTTTCATATATATTATAGCTTCTATTTTTGAAATATATTGGAACTGTGTAAAAAACATAGATATTTATATAAATAAATAAAATATATATATATATATATATATATATAAATGTATTTGGCTAAATTTCCCAGAAATAATTCTTTCAAAATATTTTGTTTAAAATTGATAATTATACGGTAAAAACTAAGTATTTTTCCCTATATGGAAGGCACGGTGGAGTCATGTATAGCGGCTCGGAGAGCCGAGTTCGAATTTCAGTCGAATCTATTACATTCATTTACGTGCTAATACCTTTGGGAAAGGTATGAATCCTCTTCTTCTCCCCCCAGCTATAGGTAAATAACAGGACAGTCTGAGTTCCATAGTCATGGATGGCAACTGGTTTAGGAGAAGGAAAACTATGAATTCAAAACCTCTGTATTCGGCTCTTCAAGAATTTTGAATGTTTCTGCGCAAAAACTTCACCACTATAATCAAATCTTTAGGACTGATCTGCTTGACTCTAATACAACGGAACGTCAGTATATATATATATATATATATATATATATATATATATATATATATATATATATATATATATATATATATGTAATGGCTGACCAAAATTAACGATATTAATTTTTTTTCAATATTTTTATTGTGCAAATCATATATATACATACATATGTGTGTGTGTGTGCAGGTTTTGTAGGGTGTCCATAAATCTCTTTAGAATTTACAGAAATGAATTATTACTAAAGCAAATGAACAGAAAAATATGGGAAAAATTTTAAAAATCAGCTGTAGATATTAACGTTTTTTTAACTAATGTAATACAACTTTTGCTGTATACAATGCTTGCTGTAGCATAACCTCATCAATGGTGGCAATGGCATTTTCTTTAAGATCAGTGATGTCCCGTATCTTTTTTTTGGAAACAAAAAAAAAAAAATTGCTTGTAGATGGAACGGAGCTTCGTAGTTTAATTCAATTTAATTCAAATAATTATATTGAAGTTTTCAGGTCTTGTTTTGAAACATGAGAACTCTTATGTAGCGACGAATTTTTAAATAAATAATTATATATATATATATATATATATATATATATATATATGAACGAAAACTAAATTCCTTTTAACTAGATATGTGACATCATGAGCCAGGATATATTTTTTTTTCTGGAGAAATAATTTATAGTCATAGAACCTAAAGGTTGTCTTTTTAATTTAATTATTTAATTGATATATATATATATATATATATATATATATATATATATATATATATATATGTGTGTGTGTGTGTGTGTGTGTGTGTGTGTGTGTGTGTGTGTTTGTGTTATGTGTTTGTTTTGTTTATGTTTGTGTGCATTTGTGTAAGCTATCTTACTGACACAGAAAAGAACATGTCGCATCTTGAGTGGGAGTTTCTCAAGCGATAATGAATGCATATGATCTGAAAATCTGAAGACATTTTTTTTCTCTTCGATATTAACCATTTTTCCCGACTCCATATAACTAATTTGAATAAGTTCGCACAAAATGCCACAACGGGTAATTTCTACCCACTCCTGGTTTTCAAGAAATATAAAATTGTCAGAACGATATAAAAAGCTGAGTCTTACAAAATTTTCCCAGTGTTCGTCATATTCAACGATAAATACATAAAAGAAAGAAAGTTGAGCAAATTTACAATATGCATAAATATAACACAAATATATAATATGCATAGATATAACGTAAATATATGATATACCTAAATATAAAACAAATATATAATACACATAGTAATAGCACATATATATATATATATATATATATATATATATATATATATATATATATATATATATACACATAGATATAACATAAATATATAATATGCATTGATATAACATAAATATACAATATGCATAGATATAACACAAATATATAATATGCATTGATATAACATAAATATATAATACACATAGATATAACACAAATATGCAATATACATAGATATAACACAAATATATAATATACACAGATATAACAAAAATATATAATATGCATAGATATGACATTAATATTAGATAGATATAACACAAATATGCAATATGCATAAGTATAACATAAATATATAATATACATAGATATAACACAAATATGCAATATGCATAGATATAACACAAATATATAATATTCATATGTATAACACACATACACACAAAATATACACACATATATTTATATA